ATAACTTGAAGCTTGGAAAAATACAACACTATCGATTTCTGGGATGATTACCATCTGACCAATGATGATTTTGACCGGACTGATCCATTTAAACATTTAAAAAAAATAATTAAAAACGGGTTTACTTAAAATTGTGTGTTTCCAATGGAATCGCGGATACGGAATCGTTGAAAATGTTGCAGAAGAGTTTTGGGGAGTCTACTTTATAGCGAACAAAAATATGTTGTGAGTGCCAGAGAGTGAAGGCCGGAAGTCACCGAAAACTTCATCAAACATATAGCAGAGGTTTTAAGTATGAAGCGTATCAATGCTAGACTCCTATCAAAAGATCTGAATTTTAGTAAAACCAACGTCACTTTCTTGTGACGAAACGTGGCTGAGGTTTAGAACAAATGAATGGAAAATAGAATTAAGCGTTAACATGCTTTTATTGGCGCAGGAGACTATGCGATTATAAAAAATTGTATTAAAATACGTGAAAATGTAGGTTTTGTCAGTCCGGATTAAATTTGATCAGTGAAGAACACTTTTTCAATGGCATTGTCGTTATTAAGATAAATAATGGCACACCTTACGATCCCCCATGCGGATCGAAATATTTAATGCCACAGAAATACTACGTTATCGTTATAGCAGAAAGGAAATACAAATTCTTTTTTCAATTTACAGAATAATTTTAGCTTAAAGGAACAGCTGTCAAAAACAAACTAAATTTTATAAAATAAAAATCAAAGTTTTGGACATTTTAATTTTTCGATCATCTTACAGAATTTGAATAAACATATACATAATTATAATTTTAATATTTTTTACAATTTCAGTTTCGGCGAAGTTCGCTATAGCAATGATGCCGAGCAAGAACCGACGCTTCATATTCAATCTAGTTGGATTGTGTTTGGTCATACTAGGTATAGGAAATGTGTTATTTGGTGAAAATATGTTAAACAAATTCTTAGAAGAGGTGAGAATACCCTTTTTCAAAGGTAAAATAACCTTTTTAATAAAAAGTACAATGTACTTTTTCATAGGAAATGATTCTACGACCCGGTTCAAAAATTTTCGAATTATGGAAAACACCACCTTTGAAACTTACACTGGATTTCTACCTATTTAATTGGACAAATCCACAAGATTTTCAAAATCTTGATATAAAACCAAAGTTCGAAGAATTGGGACCATATCGTTTTATCGAAGTGCCACACAAAGTCGACATCAAATGGCACACACAAAATGCATCACTGACTTATAAAAAACAAAGTAAATATTATTTTGATGCTGCGAACAGTAAGGGACAACTGGAAGACAAAATAGTGACTCTCAACTCGTTGGCGGTGGTGAGTAACAGTGCTGAAATTGAAGTCAAACAAATAAATTGATCATTTATATATTATATTTTTCAGTCACTTGCAGCTAAAGCGAAACGCTGGAGTTCATTGCGTCGTCGAGTGATCGATATTGCTTTGAATGTCTATAACGGTGATATTTCGTTAACGAAGTCAGTGAATGAGTTACTATTTGAGGGTTATGATGATGTACTTTTGAATATGGCCAACTATTTGCCGACTTCATTAATAGATGTGAAAGTGCCGTTCGACAAATTCGGTTACTGTTATCCGGTAGGTGCATTTGCTTTTTGCTATTTAAGAAGGCTTTTCGAAAATTTTATATTTATTCTCCATCTTTAGCGCAATTACAGCGCTGACGTTACAGGCACATTCAATATACACACCGGCGCTGATGATATTCGAAAATTCGGACAACTACACACCTGGAACTATCGTGATACGACACACGCATACGCACCCGAATGTGCGAAAGTTTACGGCTCGCCGGGCGAATTTCAGACGTTATATCTGCAGCCACACAAACCGGTGAATTTCTTTTTATCGGATGTCTGTCGTACAGTTACAATGGATTATGCGCAAACAGCGGAGGTGGAGGGTGTTAAAGGTTTCCGTTATGAGGGTGGCAAACGCATGGTTGATAATGGTAATTAATATTGTTTATTAATTTTCGCCTCGGTCTAGCATACTAGATGTAATTTTATTTTAACTTTGCCATTTCAGGCACATTATACCCCGAGAATGCGTGCCATTGCAATGGAGAGTGCGTACCATCCGGTCTAATGAACATAACATCATGTTGGTTTGGGTCCCCAATGTTTCTATCCTATCCACATTTTTACGATGCGGATCCATATTATCTCAGCGAAGTGGACGGCTTAAAGCCGAACAAAGAAAAACACGAACTCTACTTAGTGTTAGAACCGAAAACAGGGTTGATGTTGGAGATGTCGGCACGCTTACAATCTAATATTTTGGTTGAACCGGTTTCTGATTTTCGGTAAGTAAAGAAAGAATTTCCAAATTTCCGCTACCAATTGATGGTGTTCCTAATTTGATATCTTTGTACGTAGATTGTTCCGTAATAAGCGACGCATCTTTTTCCCGCTTTTTTGGTTCGAAGCACGTACGCGCATCTCACCACAGCTGTCAGAAGAGTTCAAATTATTACCGCGAGTCTTACTAAGCCTACAAGTATTTGGCGTTATCAGCATAGTAATTGGCGTGATAATGCTGGTATGGTATCCGATTAAGTTGCATTTACAGAATCGTCTTATACAACAAATAAAAATTAATAATTTGGATACTCAAACCCATCATATTGTGGGCAAAGCCATATCAATGCAACCGGAGAATGCACCACTGTTAGTCACATCGGTGCAGGCGAATGGAAAAATATTAGAAAGAGCTGATACACAGCTGTCGGAGTTCAGTATAGAAGCGAGCGCGAGCTCAACAGATCGCAGTTCAATGCAATCGACAACGAGCTCAACATGATTAGCTTTTAATTGTAGCGGATTCCTTAGTAGTTATAAGCTTGTGTGGAAAAAAAATTAGTTTTAGCAACAGTTATTAAGCATTTTATTTTATTAAATTCAGTTTCCAATTACTCAGCTACACATATATACAGGTAGGTAAGTATGTAAAGGCGAGTTTATACAAAATATTGTAGTGATAATACATTTATGAATGCCCTCATTTTCATAAACATAGCTCTATGTGCGTGACTTTGTGAAGCTTTATGCAAAAGTAAAAATGCATGTATTGTCTAGTTCTAGTTCTTTGACAATTATAGTGGTTAGTAAACATAAAATCTATTCCATAATTTTATATGGCTTTTTGTAATGTTTTATTTTGGTCTAGGTTATTCTTTATATATTTTATACTTTTATAAACCAAAAATTATTGTTAAATTTGTTTTAGAAAACAAAAATAAAAAATGAAGCATATTAAATTAAATATGTAAAATAATAAGTAACTTTTAATTTTTAGGCATGAAATATTAGAATAAACGTATATCTGTTCTTGCATTAGAATACTTACTTTCAAAAGTTAAAAACAAAGCTTGGAATACTATCAAGTTTCTTGACAATGCAACCAATTATTCTCAGCTTATTGATCTTAAAATGTAATCTTTCTTATTTTTGTTTACAAATTCGTGTTTAGAAAAAACATTGCTTTCTGCTAAGAAAAAAACACCGTTGGTGTGGCTTTATAAGTGCTAAAGCAAATCTGCTCCGGTCCAGTACTACTTTTCTGAATTTCGTCGTAACCGTACCAGCACATATGATGCCAACCTTATCATGTTGAGTAGAAAGTTATCTCAAAAGGACGCACAGGTCATATTTTTTTTTTAAAATTAAGAAGATTTTGCGTTAGCTGATCCGTTTTTTCAGCATTAATTAAAGAGACATGAATTCGAAGCATAATGTGGCACTGGTCAGACGCAATAAGAATGAATGTATGCACCGATTTGAGACCATGTCAGAAACATGAATACATCATTACACACCTGAGACCGGCAACAAACGAAATCACAAGAAACGACAAGATTTTTGTTAATATTTTTTGAGACTTTGCATAAAATTTCATCGTTTAACTCGAACATCAAAGTTAAACGAATTCATAGGCCAAAGACTTGTCACTTCAAATAGTAAATGATTATGCCAACAGACCTATGAAAAATTGAGAGAACTACCGAGCGTAAAGGCTCGCTTTGGTATACGAGTATTAATATTTACGATATTTTGAGAAATTCGTGGGTTTGTTGGTAGAGAACGTGAAGTTGTTGTATGGTTTAGGGACTTACAGTGTAGTTTATGCAAGGCATTCGAAGAAGCCTGGAAATTTTAGAGAATCCTTAAAGAATTCTTTTAACATTTAAGTCTACATGAAAAGTGTTTTGCTTAACAGAGTTTTATGCTGTTAACTTTATACAGAGTGTTAAAATGAGTGATTTGCTAATTTGAGCACATTTCAGTGCTCTCAACAGTTTATGTCGGCGCTCTTATTAATTCTAACTCATATTATTACTAAGTCGACATATTCACACTTCGCTTGTTTAATGATTAACTGATTTATATATGTATGTAAATATGTATATTTTTGTAGCAGCTACTGCTTGCTTTCTACAAGCTTTTGCACATCAGTCGAATATATTTGATTGCTCTTTTCTTATAATAGAATATAAAATGTCGTTGCTCTTGGAATTGTAAATTAAAGCGTATATGACTTGTATGTAAGTACCATAGTTATTTTTTTTTGATACACTTGTATATGTCATTACCATACCATAAGAGTCAAGGCTGAATTGTTCGGTTTTTTTTTATGTTAGTATTATTTTTCCAGGGCATTATGCCCTTTCATGATTATATGGTGCAATGTGTGTTTTGGGATCCATTAAAAAGTGAAAACCTCATACTGGTATGAACTAAATAAATTAACGAAATAACACCTAAACGGTACTCCTAAACACTCATCGGCTGACGTTTGATTATGTGCCATTTTAAAAAAACAATACGTTTAACTGATTAACTGATTTTAACTGATCGTTACAAATCGTCAAACTCAATAATACCTTCATTTCGATTCTAATCTAAATCTAATTTAATTTAAATTAATTTATATAACCTACACGATCCTAAATTATAAATTTAACTAGGAATACTGGTGAAATTGATTTTGTACTTGATATAGTCTAAACCAACAGTTCAACAGCGAACACCGTGATGTAGGGTTAGATAGTGAATGAAACCGGGCGAATATACCATAAGCCCAGTGAACAGATGCTTCTCTACAAGTTAAGAGCAATGATTTCTCTTATTTGAATTTCACAATTTAATAGTGATGCTGTGAGTGAGTGATATTTAAATCAACATTTGTTCGTATGAAAGTACAAAAGTATGAAAGTATGAAAGTACTACATATTTACTTAATTTGACGTAGAAACTGTGAATTATGGGCTGGCTACGTCAGGTGTCTACTAGGTTTAGACGAATGTATGGACGTATGCATTTTGTGAGCACCAGAATTTTATGTAGACGGAGTGAGTGTAATTAAAAGTGATTATCTAAAAATAAAGTAAATAAAGTTTTAATCTAATACGCTGAATTTTTCCACGTTTTCCTCATATATTTCACTAGATAACAGCCTTTTTATTATCTAATATTTGCATTTCTCAATAAAACGTGGTGCGATGCTCAGAGATGAAACGTACTTACATATAGACATATATTCGAACAGATATTCTAGTTTTAGAAGAATATTTTAATAAATATTTTATAATGACACCTTTGGTAAGATTTTACTTGTATTGCTCTTCTAATTTGTGGTGAGTATTTGGATATACTTCTGTAAAAGTAAGCTCTTGCACTTTTAAGCGATTGAGAGGTTTATGCAGGCATCTTACACGAGCCAGTGAAATCATTTGTGTTTAAATCTCAATGTCTAGGTGCGGCTAGAACTGATTACTTTGCTTTTAAAAGACTTGCTTATTAAAACTTGTTAAAATTATGAATTCGTAGAATCTAGATACAAGATACACATTGTACATATAAAACAATTTAGAATGCCGGAGAACTTAAAGTGCTTGACGGATTAAAAACTGGACTCGTTCCGATTATGTAATATCGACCTTAGTGGAAACGAATGAAAAACACTGTTCTCTGGCTAGTGCTTTTAAACGGTACATATATGTAGTTATGAAAAAATCAGTTGCACGAAGTTTCAGAATAAATGTACTTATATCGTTCGTTCTCAAAGAATCTAACGAGATCATCCAACAACTGAGGTAATAAAACACGTCGTCCACTGGCTCTTAGACTATAATTACCTTCATTTATATGAGATCGTGAACTTACAGCCAACAATATACGCTTTGATTGTGTTACTTAGGCCTCAAAGATCGCCAAAAACGATGTAACATAGCTGTACCATGGTGATTAAGTAACAGAACTACTTACATATGCGTCCACGACACTATGATATTTTAGGAATGCAGTAAGATCAAATTAACGATCGGTTAGCGGAAGACTGAGCGGAGCATGATACATAAGTATGCATGGACATATATACAACACAAAAATAAAAATATATACATACTTATTTACGTGTATAATTAAAAGCATGATTAACGCAGATATACGCTTGAAAAACACGTTTTGAGCACAAAAAATGATGTGACGTGAAAACCGATCAGCCGACATTTGAAAATCAACAACCGAACAAACGAGAGAGCGGCACTTTAAACATATACTTATGTATGTGCCTTGAAAAGTAGACAATACATAATTATACATATAGTGTGTGTATGTATCAATATATGGAAGTCAAACTGGTGCGACAACCAAACAATAATCTTAGAGTTCCGCTCTTGACTCTTGACGTTTAGCCGTTGCAATACCACACACGCTCTTCGTCGCCATCGTATTAGCTTGCCGAGCGCTAGCCGCTCTCAAACCGATCGAGTGTTGAGTTTTGCAGCGATGGTAAAATTAAATACAAATTGTTAATAAGAAAATAGTCGAAATATTACAGTCGCGAATGTGTGATCGTTGCAACGTGAATTTCCAATGAAAATTTAGCTTAAAAAAAAAAGTTTATCAAAAGAAATAGCGTCTAATCGAACTCGACCTGGAGGGCTGCCATGCGAGGCAGTGCTTGTATTTGAAATAAAGCAGTGGGAAAATACGTCTGTGTTGCGCAGCTAAACGCATTTTACATGTACAGTGGTGGCGAACGTGTACGCAAAGTGACAAAGCAAAAATATAAGTATGCAAAATTGTGGTATTCTTCCGCAAGTAAGAAAGTGAGAAAATAATTAAAATACATAAAAAAATATATATATATGTATATATGTAGATCTATGCACACATACATATACATACATATATAGTGAAGAATGTGCATTCTAGTAAAAAAATAATATACAATATAAAATGAAAATTAGTGTATATAAATAAATATGACTGTGAACGTGTGTGTGACAGAGTGTCGAAAACTTAAAGGAAACAGACAATAGGTATATGAAGAAGAGCAACAAAGCGAAAAGTAAGCAAAAAATAATGCAGAAATAATATATTAAAATAACAATAACATATGTATGTATGTAAATACTTATGCCGCCCTTGAGTATGTGACGCTAATAGTAATTAAATAAAAAATAATCATGTACAAGTATTTAATTATAAGTATGTGAAATAAGTAAATATTTATGAATGTGGGTGTGAATTCTCTCTCTATGTAATTCACAATACTAAAAATGCAAAGCCAATTCAGCGTTCATATAAAAAATATAAAATATTATTTGATAAAATAATGTATATGCATTTGAATAAATGGAAAAAAATAAACGGAAAAATATATAAAATAAATTGAAAAACTTGTGCGCCGAAAAACTCGTTTATTTTCGCTGTTAACTTAAAGTGGGAGTTAACTTATTTCAATTGTACAACTCAATGTGTTAAATAGCCTAATATACATACTATGTATGTGTGTGGCATTATTAACGCACAGACGACGCTCATTGCAGTCATTTAGCAAAGAGTCTAGCAAATAAGTCAGACGAACATTATTCTATATATGAGCATAAGTATGCATATATTTACATACTCAAATACGCATATTTATTAACTATGTGCATGTAAATACAAAAAGTGATCCTTATTAACACTGTTAATTTATTGAAATATATATTATATATTAAGTAGAATATTCGTTTTGGAATTAAATGAATAACGACGAAAGTAATACAATTAAAGTAACCACAATTTACATGCAGATATAATACGTATACCTATGAATTGTGAGGGATCTGTTACAGCAATAAAAGCTTCAAAAGTTTCTTACAAAAAACAAGAAAAAACGTCAACTTCGACTGCACCGAAGCTATAATACCCTACACAAATACAAAAGTATCCTTACAAGAGCTTTGATCGGTCAGTTTGTACGGCAGCTATATGCTATAGCGGTCCGATCTGAACAATTTTTGCAAAGAATGTACTGTTGCCTTAGCCAATAATCTACAATATATTAAAGTTCGTAAAGATATCTCGTCAAATTAAAAAGTTTTCCAGATCGATATCTCATGGAATGACTAGTTCGCGTATATACAGACAGACGAACAGACAGACAGACGGACATGGCTAAATCGACATTTAAACATATACAGTCAAAATTGAGTAAGAGAAAACTGGGTAAGCGAGAAAACTCTATAAGTGAGAATAATTCTCAGATCCCGAACTTTGACCTATCAAAAACCTCTTTGAGTGAGAAATCAAAACCTCCATAAGTGAGAGTCGTTTTTCCCATCCTGACCTCTACAACTGAGAGCCTCTTATTTACCTCTATAAGCGAGATTTTACCTATGTATGACTCATTCTTTTTTTCAGGAATCAGGAACTATGTTGTTTTCTTGTAATTCAAAGAAATAATATTTAACTGTATTAATTTATTTGTCATGCTCACTGCAGTTGATAAATATCATTTGCAACAACTTATAATGTCTAAACGAAAAATCAACGAAAAGAAAAAAAGCATGGTCCCTTGAACTCTCTCTTAACCAGGTTTGACTGTATATACTTTTTAGGGTCTTCGACGTTTTCTTCTAAGTATTACAGACTTCGTGGCTTACTTAATATACCCTGTGCAGGATATAAATATGCCTTTTAAGTGAATCAAAGGTATAAAGAGCCCGGGTTCAAACCCAGAACCTAGCATTTTTGTAGTTTTTTTTTTCTACATCAAATGCGAAATATTTATATTGCTAAAAAATTGGCAGACGTTTATTAGAAGAATGTCTACTAGCATTCAAATTTAAATGATTAAATATAACAATTGGCTTTCAAATTATTTTAGTAAATACAAGTTACAACAACAGCTGAACTACAGAACAAGCAGTTGATTTTTACAAAAAAAAATCTTGAACTATTGCTTTTGCTTATATCTGTAGCAGCAGAAAGTTCGCTAAATATTTGAAAATATGCTGCTACGTTGACAACCCTTAGCCGGATATATGTAAATCTGGTACCGTTTCGGTTACTTATACCCGACTTTAGCGAGACAAAAAAAAGTCCTGAACCAAAACCCCTTCGCTACTCTGCTAGATGGCAACTTTCTCAGTCCTGAACCGCCTATTATTAGTCATTTTATTCATTATAGACGTTATTATGGTAGCTGTGATATGTGAAACACTTACTAATTAATTAAACGCCGGTTGAAAAATGCGGTAATTTTCAAGAAATTAAAATTTATTAAAATTTTAAATTTTTTGCATTTGCATTTCCTTGTTTACAGTTTTTTAGTTTTACAAAAGTTTTACAAAAAGTTTTACACTACCACACAACTTGATACACCCTGTAACGTAATTTACTTTTTAACTCAAATATATTTTCTCTCACATGACGAATTAGTTCACAAAGGTCAATATACTACTTTGCCCGAAATCGTACATTGATTTTGGTCTTTCTGCCACGAAATTACATATACTTATGTGCAATGCACATGCCTGTATATAAATATGTATGTGTATATTGTATACCCAGTTGTACTCTAAAGCATATGCCGATATAAATTAATATCGTGTTGTATATACAATTTGGACTCTTCAATTGCTAGAAAAACAGCTCAAAAATACAATATAACAAAATTGCCACATGACATTTGAATAATACTAGTACTTTAATTAAATATGCCAATTTATAAGAGAACGTGTATACCAATTTATATATACATAATTCAGGGAATTGATATCTTAGTGTAAATTTTAGGGAGGAGTTGTCTAATTTAGAGACAGAGTTGATTATAGCGCCAATTAAAAATAAATAAAAATGTCTAAATGTAAGATGTTGGTGGGGAAGTTAAGTAACAAGTCAGATGGCATCTGCCACAGCACCATTCCCCTTAACTTTCTACATTAGGAAGCGTAAAAATTATAAAAAAAACTGCAGGCTTGCGGCAGAGTAGTTTACCATGTAGACTTACATACATGCATATTTACATATGTAAGTAGAGTCATTATAATAAGGATTATTTTTTTAAAAAGTAGCGGTGTTGTGCAGAAAAGATGATGCGCTTATAACTCAACACGAATTAACTTCCGATTTTGTATTGAAACAATATTATAACTACTTATTTTCTCGAAACGCTGTTTTCAACGGCGTGAGGAAAATTTCTACGACTTTTTTGAATAATTTTAAGCAGAAAAATCTTCCTCACCGCCAGACAACGTTTTTCGGTAGTTCTCCTAGATATCGACTACGGGAACTAGGGAATTCAAAATTTTTCAAAATGTATCATCGATTATTAAAGAACATTGAAATACAAGCAGCATTTGACTCGTAAAATTCTCATCATCACCATTATGATTTTAAATGCTTAAATTAAAGAGTCTCCAATTGAAACAAATACATACATATATATCTCACGTCTTGCTGAATTTTATGAAATAAATCATGTAGTATTATAATTTTAATGAATTTATTTTCAACTCACCTTTCAGTCACCAAAATTTGTAAATTTCGGCTCGCTCTCTTTGCTTTCTGTGTATGCAGCTTCCAACGCGTTGTTTGTTTTCTATTTTACGCCGGCTGTTGCCACTACTTTTCAACATTAACCACACTTTTTATTTAGCAAACTGAAATATTTTTCTACAGCGCTCTTCTGGTTTGTTTATTCTCACATTATTTCGTTGTGGTTAATCCACTTGGCATATTAAAAATTAAGAAATCTTAATACAAGTATAGAAACTACATTAGTAAGCACATTATAATTTTCTCTTTCGCTTTATTTTATATTAATACAATTACTTTATTCACAAACAATGTATACATTCACATACATTTTTTTACAATGCACTACCATTGTTTTGGCAGATAATTAAAAATATTAAGCAACATGCTGTTTTTTTTTTGTTTTTAACTTTTCAGATATTTATACATAGACATATTTACATCGTATCGTATTAACAGGCGATTTTCTTCAATTTTGAAGTCCATGATCAGAGGAAAGCGGCAAATTGGTAATGCTGAAAGAAACTGAAGAAAAAATAATATTAATATAAAATTATATATATTATATATTTATTCGTGCATAGTTTTATAGAACTAAGAATCTTATCAATTACTGCAGTAAAATTAATTTGTTTGACGTTTCGCAACGCACATTTCAAGTGAAGAGAGCGCAAAGCTAATAATTTTCAATTGGCTGAATTAATTTGCAACTTGCGCTGACAATCAGACAAGTTCAATAAATATGCTATAATATACGAGCGAGCAGATTAAAATAAATATCTACATAAACAAATATATGCATATACTTACATACATTTCTATATACATACGTACTTAAATATATAACAATTGAGCGAGAACCAAATAATTTTAAATAATTTTGCTTTACAGGTCTTCGAACTTGTTACATAAACTTATCTACATAAAAATATGCATATCAATATAATATATACATATATATATATACTTGTATAAATAAATAAATTATATATATATATATATATATATGTATATGCCAATATACTTTTATATACCTATGTCTTTTTTGTGATCCTAAATAGAATTACGCAAAGTTGAATTGAATTAAATTAAGTCCAACAGACCTTGACTTAAACTACTTATGCACTTAGTGTACATATACATATAAATATGTACATATGTATGTACAATATAACAAGTAGATACTATGTCATCAAGTCCCGGTATTCTCATGCTTTCTTGGCATCACGCATTCTACTGCTATTTAGGAATATTGCAAAGGAAATGTACCGCTTTCGATTTTAGTTTTCTTCCGATTACACGACATTTTATCGAAATTTTTTATTCACGAGAGAATTTTTACTCGACCTATTCAGTTGTTATACGAATATCTGAGACAAAAAAACTCGTCTGATATCTTCATGTTTTTGATATACTGATCAATGAATACTTTTTCTTTTCCATATCATTTTAAGTGGTGGATTCGCTTGATTCCGTATATGATCTCCAGGAAAACGGTCCTCCGAGAAGAAGTTTTTGGCGGCAAAAAAATGTATTATTCCTATAATCGAATACCGCAAATGAAGGAAGGACTAGTCAAAATTTTAATTTTTGCCAAAATGTCGGCTTCCTTAAAAATAAATTGTCTTTGGCATAAAAATTGAAATTGATGTCAAAAATCTTATTCCTTCGATCATTACCTGACAAATATATTTAAATAGTCATGTAAAAACTTCCTGTCGATCAGTCCAGTCGTTCGGGAAAATTTTTCTTCATCTTTAGCATTTCGAGAAAAATGCGTTTAAAGTTTTGGGAGGAGATTACACTAATTATAGAATATACGCTCATATCTCCAAAACTATCAACTTCAAATTTTCGAAGAATATTCTCAAATATATGTATGGTATACTTGATATATAAACAAAATAATATTTTTTTTAATTCACAAATGGATATAAGCTCTTAAATTATATGTATATAAATATTGTTTATTGAAGTAAGCCGTAAATTTTTAAATTCTTAAATACCGCATTTAAGTATATACAGAAATAAATTTAGACGAATCTGTAGTCCTAACAAACCGCAACTGTCAAATTTGCAATTTTTGCGCTTCTTCGCTTGCCAATTATTGTGTGTTCTCCTTATTATTCCAGAGCAATTGTCCAAATTAATTTCAAAAGAAAAAATATATAATAATTTGCATGTTAAATGCTTAAATGAATGAGAAAGCTCGACTCATGACGCATTATAAACCAACATACATACATAAATATAACACCATACCATACACCATATTGGAATGTCTCGCCACAAAGTTATATGTAATTGCGTTTTAATTATAAATTGATAATGTTCATTTGAATAATATAATACATAAAAACAATTTTAATAAGATTAGAGTGGAACTAAAGTAAATCGCAGAAATTTACCACAATATACGTTTGCATGAGTCATTATCTAAAATTTGCCAAATTCGCTATGGCACTGATTAAATCATTTTCAAAATATAACTGACAGAAATTTTTATTTCTAAGCCTTGTTTAGTTTATTAACCATATTAAATTATTTGATTTATCATAACAACTTCTTGAATGAGAATCTTTAAAGAGGTTGTCAAAAGTCAAAAAATATTAAAGTTTATTTATTGATTTCTGTTTTTAACTATTTCAAAAAATAAAAAATTTAAACAGATGGCAACGCTGCACAAAAATTATTTCTACAATAAGCTTTCTAAGACTTTTTTATTTAGTGGTATTTACGATTTTTTTTTGTCAAAAATTTTCGAACAAATGTCAATCTTCAAAAATTTTTGTAGTTTAGTAGGTTGTTCGCAACTAATGTTCTTTTTTTTATAAATCATCTTTCTGTGAAGCATTACTGAGCATTTTATAGAAAAAAAAACACACGACTCATTGCATAATTTCGAAAGGGTTTCGCATAAACTAGTTTTACTTTGTTACTATTAATTTTTCTTTAATATTGTGTTCTCAAAAACTTCATACTATTTTGTTTTTGTGAATAATACCGTATATTTTTGATTTTATACGAAAAAGACAAAAGAAGAAAATTATTTTTCGAAAATTTTATGCTAATTAGATTATACAAAGTGTTTAAAAATAGCAACACCTACCTAAATTGCACAAACACATACATTACACATGCATATATACATTAGATTTCACTGAGTGAATGATGGACTTCCCTACAAGAAACTGCTGATGGGTTCACCAATATACTCACATTTTTTATGTCAGTCGTGATAAACAGTTTACTTGTCAACTGACAGTCAAATGAATAGTAAAATTACTGTCAATGTTGATGGTTGTCAAGAAAAACGTTTATCAGCACTAATTAATCATAATTTCATTTTTCACTTGTGATAGATTTACAGTCATAACTGACAATTTTCAGCTATGATGGATTTATGGTCAGCAATGACTCAGGAAAAGACATGAAAGTGAGCAGTATAGATATATAGTGAATCAATCCCGAATATCCATGTGTTAAAGAGAGATGCAAACACATGCGTTTGTTTACATCAGTTTTTGCACAAGGCCCTTAAGAAAATGTTAGAAACTTTGTTCTGCGCACTGAAAAATTTTTTTCAACTGTGACTGTCATATTATCGGTCAGATGACCGTCACTGTTCTTGTAGGGTTGATACGTCATTTTATATTTCTAAATATGTACATATTTATGTGAATGAGCTAATTATGGTATGTATGTATATGACACCTAACTTTTATTTGTTTATTCTGCAAATTTTTGTACTAAATTTCATACTTTGTATTGTCAACACTTAGATGTTTTCTGAGTCAGCGCTGTAACAATATCTCCCCACAAGAAATATTTAAACTCTCTTTATTTACCCTTTCCAATCTCAAATTCATTACCTATATACTTACATACGTTCATACATAAATACATACGTACATACATAAACTATATTATGAATAATCATTTGAGAATGTTTACAATAAAAGCTAATTTAATTGAATTGTATATAGGAACTGATTTCAACACTAATATCGTTACCGACGCTCTATATCTTTATAAATAAATAAATATTTACAAAAAATGCAATTCAGCAATATTTACCAACGATATTAGAAAGAAATCGAAATCGGAATCGGAACGGTTTGCTTACTAAACTGTAAGTTTTTGAAGTGTGATTGATGTGACAGACTTAAGCTTCGGTCATACTTGACATGTAGAAGTAATTTTCCAACTCAAATTGGTGTCAAAATAATTTACTTTCATATCTGAACACACTACAAAGTTTCCTTTTTCTTGAAAGGGCTGCCAAGCGATTTAACTATTGACGATATTAAAACATAAAGACTGCTGATGAATTTATAAGAAATATGAAAAATAAGAAAGAAAAAAAATATTTGTGAAGCTATTTATCTACCTAAAGCCCAGAGGATTTGTACTTACAAAAAGATGCTTGTTGACATCGTGTGATATTTCTTAGGAGCTTTTCAAACCTTTTCAGCCATGTCCCTGACTTGAAATTTTGCTCACGTCCTTTTTTTCCTAAGAAGCTGTTAATTTGTCGGAACTACCGATATCGGTATACATTAGCATAGCTACATACAAACTGACCGATCGAAAACAATTCCTTGTATGGAAAACTTTTTTTATTTGACAAGATATCATCACGAATTTTGGCACAATTACTATCCGCGATAAAGTATATACACTTCTATGCTATAAGAAATACACCTCTGAAGGTCATTATAGCTTCGGTGCAGCTGAAGTTTTTTTCTTGAGTAAAATTGGTCAATGGTTTTGTGAATAATTAAATTAACGTGAAAGCCATCACGCGTTAGATCAATATCTAAACAGTTATATAAATATATACAATTTACGTGTCACATTTGCCCCGAGGTTAACTCCTAAACTACTGAACCGTTTTTGTAAAATTTAGCACGCTGCATTCAGTTTGATCCAACCTAAAAGATAGGTTATTCTTATCTTAATTATATTAACATTAAAACAATTCAAAAATAAATAAATAAATATACATATTATACATAAATATTTCTAAACAGCAGCATGTTTTCAAAATTCCAAAAAAAAATTTAATTTTTAGTAAAATGCCAAATGGAAAATTCATGATTTTTTCAATTGACAAATATTTTTATTAATCATTTCAAAATTAAACTTCAAGTACAATCGCTTAGATTCTTTTACCGGCTTTAACGTTTTCGCCTTTATTCGTAAATTACAATATATTTTCACTCTATTCTATAGTTTATTATAATAGTATGGCTAAGGTGTACCACAGCAACGCGTGGGCGGATCATACTAGTAGCCATATACATATGTACATGTACGAATCTTTCTAGTAGTGACATATGTACATATGTATGTTTTTAAAATGTTATCCAAAATCAAGCAAAGTTTGCTAGTCATTGTGGTAATAAATAATTGATATCAAGCAATTTTTGATAACTTTAATCATACATAAATTGTAAAAAAACATATTTATTTGTTTTTGTTATTTTTTTTAAGATTATAATAGATGAATCATACTGGGAGAGCTGATCGCTGACATAAGACTATTTAAACCTTTTCACTAAAAATATTTTTTTTTATATAATTACATACATACATATACAAGTATGTGTGTATGAGAACTCGACTCTCTCACTTCAAATATTTAAATATTATATATGTACGTCTGTTGGCAAGTCCAAACGCTTATCAGATAACGCTGCCCATAATTGTTGATAAGCATGCCAGTGTAAAACGATCACACAGCTAATTTGTGCATGTGGCGCTAACGAACAGTCAATATTGTGGAAGTCGAACGAACGGACGCGTTTCGCGCCGCGCATTATAATATATTTATTATTAAGACAAACATACATACATATTATATATATTAATATAAGGTGCTTGTATTTTATATAAAATTTTCATAAAGAAAAAAGTGTCTAAAAAGTGTATTTCTTCTCATTTGTTTTTTTCTAGTTTTTAAAACGCATTCGAGATACGCGTGATAAGAAACAAGACAGTTGTGTAAATACATATACATACATACATACAAACTTATGCGGTAATTTTTCGCGTATTACCGTTGTATCGTATATAACGCGTATGAAAGTTTAACTGTCTCCAAGTAGATTCACATTTAACTAAGCATCAGTGATTATATCCAGGAAGTGCTTCCTCAAAGATGTCTTCTTTATACTGTCGCTACATTTGGCGACTCAGTGTTATTGCGCTGGGCGCACTATGCATCACCAGCGGCGTTTATCTCTTCGCACACTGGATTGATATATTCACGCGCTTGCGTGGTAAGGTAAGTCTACTCATGTACGAAAAATTGCTAATTGACTAAATTAGATGACTGTCTGAAGCTGCTTAAAGTTCCAAAATTTATTATTAAATAATATAGCAATAAATTTGTTTTATATTTGGTTATATATGGTTAATATGTATGTATGCAGATAAAAAATGCATGTTTTTTTTTGCAAAATGGCGAACTTGTAAAAAAGGTAAATATCAACTGAAAACATTAACAGTTTCAATTTGTTTGTGAAAACATAGCATGGTCTCTTAATATGTACCATCGTCGCTCGATTTGAAAAATGCAATTTCAAAAAAAGTGTTTAAAGTTTTATGTACTAAACACTTTTTTCATTTTCACTATTCTGTCAACTTAATAATGTTTTTAGAACCAAAAATTATACTTCAAGACGAATACATGTTTTTATTTTTGATTAATTGAAAATCTTAAACTGACCGTAACTTACTTTTTATTACTATACAACAAAATACCGCTATACAAATAGAGTTTCTCATTCAAAAAGCTTTTAAGTATTATCGGCGTAACATTACTCGTATCTATTTTGCGTGAAAATATGAACAGCTGCACATTTATCAAAAAGAAAATAAATTCTTATCAGCAAATGTGCACACCTGTGCCGAGCTTCACTAAGGTAATTTCCAGAAATTGACCGAGTATTTTGTTTTCTCAGACATTTATTACACACAAATTTAAGTAAAGAGCCGTAAAGGTTACTCAATTGGAAACCCATAATATAGAAATAAACTAACTGATAATGACAAAAGTCATAAAGTATAAGTACCTAAAATTTGTATGGTGAATCATAAAACTAAATATATGAGACAGAGATCTTTATATACAAATTTTTATGTAGTATTAGAGAGAGTCAAAAATAATCTAAAATGAACTCATATGCAGAGCAAAAAATATGTATGCAGGCGGAGTTTTTAGCTTAATTTTAAGAGGTGTCGGTGAGCAAAGTTACAATATATACATAAATAACAGGAAAAAATAATATATTTTTTTAAATAGCAGAATTTTTGAATTGCTTATGACACATTTTGTTTATGCGTGGATTTTACAGAGCATAAAATTTGCCAAAAATCTACCTTAGTAGAATTTTTTTCAATTCAAAAATTCATATTCAATAGTGAAATTTTTTTTAAATTAAACTAAAAATTCCTTGAGAAATTTTTTCTCGGTATCAAGGTTAATTTAAACCCCTAAATTGGAGAAGTAGTTTTTGCCTCACCCTAATATAGTGTATATTCTATATGTATAATGCTTACACTTTCACTGGGTAAATTGTTTATGCTATTCGAAATATTTTTCTAATTCTGATCGGATTAGGCTTATTTTAAGCCTATTTAAGTATTTTAACATTTTCTTTTTCTAATCTCACCCCTGAGCATAATAATGTAAAGAGCATAAGCCACTATATGAACCAATATCTAACGGTTGATCGATTACCTCATCAACAGTTATGGTTCATGGTGGAACAAAAAAATTATCTTTAAAACAAAATAAATACAGGTGCTAACTTTGATTAGTAATACCATATTATTGCTTGCTTCGACTTTATTTTGCATAAAATAGATAATTTTAAAAAATTAAAAATTAATATTAAAAACATTACAACATTTTAAATTTAATTTTTCATTTAGTTTATGAAACTGCTCTTCACTTTTTTGTACAAAAATCTGCATTGAAGTTTAATTAGCACAATTCAATTAGAAACTGTAATATTTTGAGAAAAAAAATATAAAAAACATTACTCAATATCACACAAACTAAATTAAAAATTTATTTAGCTTAACATCAGTCTACGAGAGATTCAAAGTTCAAGTTTTATAACCTAAAATGAATTTATCATGTAGGATATTTATTTATGTAATTGCCAACAAAACCATTATTACTCTAGATCTGAACTTTAAATTTCCGCAATTTAAATTTTGTTTAATGAGACTTTTTGTATTTACCTAGGTGTAATTACCAGGTATTTTTTTATTTCAATAACGTGTTTGATGAACTTCGTGATATTTGTGAGAACGCTATAACACACATAATACCACTTTTCTAAGTACAACTGGTACTTAAAGTGACCATGAACTAATTTTGAATTGCCATTTTCATGTTGACATATTTCAAAAATTGTAGAAACAGATTTTTACAACAGCAAGTTCAAGTTGTGTTTAGATTATCTCTTCAGATGAGATAGATATACCTATGTCCCTTACCATAAGTGATTATCAAAAATCCATTTTTTTTTGCAAATATATCGAATAAACATATATTTGAGAATATTCTCCGAAAATATGTAGTTTAGTATTTTTTGTAATAGTATTTTTTTTTGGGGTGGGGTTCGGGATTTTAGATAATTTTAAGTAGAAAAATCTCCTCATCGTCAGACAGGACGGAGGTCCTCCGTTTACGGCATCAAGGGAATCCAAAATTTTTGTTTAAATGAATCGCCAAATACGAACGTACATTAAATTCTGTAAATGTACATTTTTTTATTTACGTATTAAATAAAATACCTTTTCGAATTAAATAAAATACGTTTTTCTGAGTTGCGTGGATACAACCCCTTAAATGCCCTACATTTGTAGAATATCTGAAGAGCGCAAGTCAGTTGATAGAATAGATAGAACGTCTATGTGTGTGGTCGGAAATCTGCTGTAATGATTATTGGAACACTTATTCGACTTAGAGAACCACATAATGCTGAGCATAAAAGTATACACATTTTTTGAAAAATTAATGTGGTTATCTATTTATAAAACCCATATACCCATTTCACAAACTTCATGGCATACGGGAGGCCTTGAGGAAAAAATTGGGTAATCACCACCAACTATGAGGACCTACTTGACCGATTTCAACCAAGTCGGTACAAAACATTATCCTGACATTCCCATATTACGGTGTGGAAACGGGTAAAATCGGATCACAATCACACCTATTTCTCATAAAACACAGTTTAAATGCCATCGGATTCTTTCACTTTCCAGTAAACAACTCAAGCACCAATGAATTTATTGGAATGAAACTTTGCACAAATAGCGCCTTTGAGGTGTGTGACTTCTTGGTTTGGTTTGAAAAGGTTGTGACAAAAAGATAAGTTAAACACCAATAACCCTTCGTTAATTTTAATCTTAATACGAATACTTTGATCAATACGTAGAATTTTGAAAAGTAGGTAGGAATGTAGTATAAGTTGGTAACAAAAATTGGTCGAATTGGTCTTTATCTATGTACTTCGAGACCAATATCTGTATGTAACATAAGGTCTGATTTCCCTCTTCCTGGTTTCTTTAAACTTGGATATCACGGATAATACTTTTATAATTCCTTTTTTTATACCACTATTAAATATGTAGAACATAATAAAATACAAAAACTTTTTATAGCTCAATTTTTATTTATTTTTGTTGATAAAAAAACAAAAAAACCACGAAGTAATATAACCCATTTTGTTTTGCAAATATTTTTACAATTCAAAACTTGTTTCTTTTGGCACAAGTGTTTGTACATTCAAGTATATACATATATATTTGCGGTAATCATCGAATGGGTTCATCGTTAGGAGAATTCGATGGCAATGCAGGCTAATTTAGGTTTTTTTTTATATAATTAAAAAATCGACTATTTTGCAGGTAATGTGAAATCTTTTGTAAATGCCCATATGTATGTATCATATGTGCTATAAAGACAATGTTCCAATTGAGCTCATCGTAATTTTTAATTAGCCTACCGATTGTTGGGGTAAAAAATCAAAAATGAGTTTCGTTATAAAAAATATATTTTCGATTATTGCCATAAATTTCCGCCTTAATGGAGCACACGTGTCGCTCATTGAAGTTAAGGAGGCCAAACTTCCTTTGCGAGGGACACTTATATTTATAATTATTATATTTCTTTGCTGGCTTGGGCACAGTTAAGTAACTGCAGATATTGCATTTTTAAATATACATATCTACATATATACGTATATACACATATATGGTCTTACGGAAATTAGTGGCTTTAATTCTGCAAAAGCTGAAAGAAAGATTAACTTTCAGGACATGCGCCGCTAACAAGTGTTTAATAGCCAAAAAATGATTCTCTCTATCGCCATTATAAATATGTGAACCGCGAATTGTTACTCTGCGTAAATAGATTGTGTGTGCATGTGTACATATGTATTGTGCAGAAATGCGCTTTTTTCTTTGATTATGCCTTATCTTTCTGAACACCTGCAAAATTAGTGATACGATAACAAATTGTATGGTATACTTTATGTGTGTTTATTGCATTATAATATGGGGTTGTCATTAGCTTTAATTTGCAGGGTTATATTATATTTTTAGCACCTACACTATGTTCATATGTATATGTATATGCACATACTTAAGGTGTTTTAAATTCCAATTTCATCAGTAAACGGTGGTTGCGGTTTACTACATACATACATCCTTTAAAACCTTACTTTTCAAAATTAAACTGAGCGCAATGCAAGCAAATATTGTGATTGAAATTTGCGAAAATACTTGGAAAATTAAAAACGTTATATAATAGCATTTATTCACTTGAGACATAATCCTGGCTATAAAATACGAAATTTAACCGAGTTAGAGCGTTCTTTAGCAACTAGTATAGAAAATTGTAGTAAAAAGGAATCCATTATTATATCATATATATTATTTATCTGTATCTCGCGTTGTATAAGTCCGATCGGGCTCGGATAGATGGCGTTAGAAAGATGATATTTTATGCTAAAAAAAACTTTTCGGACAGTTTTGTGATTGGTTGATTCAGTTTTGTTTGAGCGCGCGTCAAAGATGGACACTAGCAAAGAGAATATAGATATATTTTACAGGTTTTTTTCGATATGGGCGAAAACGCTAGCCAGGCGGCTGAAAATGTGAATAGCGTTTATGGTCCTGATACTGTAACAGCCAATCATGTACAATTTTGATTTCGTCGATTCCGTTCCGATAATTTCGATTTCAAAGATGCACCACGCTCTGGAAGACCAATTATCGAAAAAATCGATCAAATAATGGAAATCGCCGAGTCCAAATATCGATTACGATTGTCCAGGACCTAAACATTGCACCAAAACCCGTTTGGAACCATTTGTACTAGGTTGGATACGAAAAGTAATAATTAAAGCATTCAATTTCATGCATAAATAATAGATTTATTTTTACTACATCAATATATACATATGTTATATTACAAAGAAAAACAAAGAAATGTTTATTTCATATTTTATGTCTCGTTTTAAAAATTTAAAAATATATTTGCCATTATCAGTAGTGTACCATAAAATTTGACCTGAACTCGTAGAAAAAAAAATCGCGTATTTCAATACAAGTTTTTATTATTATCTAAAAAAGGCACTTGAGTCAATACAAGTATGCCAACGCTTAATCCAACTTTCCAAAATATTATTTTTTCGGTTTCGGCTCATTTTTGAAGCACCATTCGCTAGATTGTTAGATGATTTCGACGTCATATTCATAAACCCACTTCTCGTCACCAGTAATGATGCGTTTGATGATTATAGAAAGTTGTACCAATTTAGGAAAAAGTTTTTAATCGAGTCGGGTTGCGCGCAATATGGCAATAAATGGACCAGTCCGAGGCAAATTTGATCCGACGGTATAACTAGGCTATGTGAACACCCTTAATCTCTTCTTTTTTTTGGAGTAAAGTAATAGTAATTTAAAAAAATAAATGTAGTAAGTAAATAAAATTTTTTAAATATTGCAAAAGAAAATCGTTTCAAATTACTTGGCCACTAGTGTATGTATTTCTTAATGCATACCATATAATGACTTTAATATGTAATAAGGGATCAATTATCAGTTAATTAGAAATTATTTGTACAAAAATTTCACATGAATTTATTAATCATCGAAACTATTTTTTTTATTACCTTTTTATACCCTGAACAGGGTATATTAATTTTGCCACTAAGTTTGTAACACCCAGAAGGAAACGTCGGAGACCATATAAAGTATATATATAAATGATCACCGTGACGAGCTGAGTTGATTTAGCCATGTCCGTCTGTCTGTCCGTCCGTCTGTGGCCGTCTGTCCGTCTGTATATACGCGAACTAGTCCCTCAGTTTTTGAGATATCGATCTGAAATTTTGAACACTTCTTTTTCTCCCCAAGAAGCTGCTCATTTGTCGGAACTCTTTTTGAAATTTGGCATGTATTATTATTTAAAGCATTAATCTAATTTCCGAAGAAATTGTATGGATCGGATGACTATAGCATATAGCTGCCATATTAACTGAACGATCGGAGTAAAGTGCTTGCATGGAACATTTTTTTATTTGACGAGGTATCTTCACGAAATTAGGCACGAGTTATTGCTTAAGGCAACAATTTATTCTCCACAGAAATTGGTCAGATCAGATCACTATATCATATAGCTGCCATACAAATTGAACGTTCGGAATCAAGTTCTTGTAAGGGGCCTTTGTTTTTGCTTCGGCGCAACCGAAGTTAACGTTTTTTCTTGTTATCATTAAAATTTGTGTAATTTAATTAACAGCATATGTACATTTGGTGTTTATACAGTTACTTCCAGGTATTCACACAAATATTTATTTATTTTTTTCCATAAATTTTCAAGTTTACATATAAATGCTATTGCGATTGAAAATACATATCGACATTAGAAGGTAAAATGGCTTATCACAGGTTCAGGCGGTTACATTTTCCGTAATTTGTCAGTCTACTGATAGTGGCAAATAAATTTTAATTCAATGTAATTGTACATCTGCTAAAGTAGCTTCAGCCGTAGCTCAAATTTCAGCTGAAGCGCTAATGCTGATCATAAATGTTATTTTACATCGGCTTACTAATATTACTGCCAATTTCGTCATAACAATTCTAATTAAACAGCAATTTCCTGCTAGCTGATCGCTAACCTTTTTCAGTTGAATTACCAATCGGTTATCAAATGCAAATATTGAGCTACTGTCATATTGCTATTACTACAGCAAATATTAATTATTGTAATCTGAAATATATATGTATATTATAAGTAATTTTGTATGACATAACGAAATAACATAACATATTTTCAGGAAATGGCTTTGAGTTCCAAATCACCCGCGTATCAAGGTTGGAAAGTTTCACCATTACCACTTAATTTTGATGTATATCTATTCAATTGGACAAATCCGGAAGACTTTTACGTTGGGTCCGGCAAGAAACCACGTTTTGTGGAGTTGGGTCCATATCGGTTTCGAGAAAAACCAGATAAGGTAGATATTGTTTGGCATGAGCACAACAACACTGTATCATTTCGCAAATATGCTGCATTCTATTTCGATGAAGCGAATAGTAAAGGAAAACTCACTGATCGCGTAACCTCAGTCAATACAGTGGCGCATGTAAGTGCTTATTGGAATGTGCATTCATTAATATTTTGGTGTAATATTTTCTTTTCTAATTAACAGGGTGCCGCTTTACAAGCCATTAATGGTACAGGCTTTCAAAAGGGTATATTAAGAAATGTTTTGAAAATGTATAGAGAAGGTTTGTCAATTACAAAAACTGCCAATGAGTGGATATTTGCGGGTTACAGTGATCCATTAGTTACAATGGGTAGTATTATATCTAAATTTGCTGCTGATATTGTGGTGCCATTCGATCGAGTAGGCTGGTTGTATACGGTAGGTGTCATCGGCGCAAATTTAACTTAACGACGCTTGTAAATAAAGGAAATAAACAAAACTTATGAAAACTTTTTTATTTTTTTGTAAAGCGCAACGACAGTTCAGTATATGACGGTCACTTCAATATACATACCGGCGCAGATGATCTTCGAAAAATGGGACAAATTTACGAATGGAATCACAAAACACAAACTGGCATTTATGAAGGTGAATGTGGTCGTGTTAGAGGCTCCATGGGAGAATTCTTCCCACCAAATCTTATACCGACAGACTCGGTAGAAATATTTTTGCAGAACCTATGCCGCGCGGTGCCTTTGGATTACATTGAGACGGTGAAAATTCACGGGATCACCGCGTTTAAATATGCCGCTACCGAACGGGCGTTTGACAATGGTAAGTGGAGATTATTAGTAAACTAAAGCTCATATAATTGGAAGTTAAATATGTTACTTTCAACTATTTTCAAATCAGTATATTGCACAATAAATTATTGGACTACTATCAGCAATAAGTATTTACTTAGTTGTTAAATGAAAAGCACTTACCAAATTTTTTTTTACTTAATTTTTTCGATTTTCGCCTAATTAATAACATTATATTTAATTATAACTCATAAAAAATGAGAATAACCGTGTTTATTAAATAGTTTAGCACTTATCAAAAATAATTATTTCACTACTATGCTCTCAGCTGTTTTGATCAGTTATGCCGCGATCACATTGGGTAAATAAAAGCCATTAGTTTAGGGTTAGTTTACACGTTCCTACAGTTAGTTGTAAAATTATAATGTAAATGTATAAAAATTTGAATCTATGTATTAATTTAAAGTAAATAATTTTTTTTAGGTACACTCTATCCAGAAATGAAATGTTTTTGCGTAAATGGAAAATGTGAAAAAGCTGGCGTAATGAATTTGGGACCATGCCAATACAACTCGCCTACATACACGTCATTTCCACACTTCTACAAAGCCGATCCTAGTTATTTAGAAGCCATCGAGGGGCTGTCACCGGATCCCTCAAAGCATGAGTTCTTCATGACGCTGGAACCGAATGGTGGTGTGCCCATGGACGTGGGCGGTGGTTTCCAGGCGAACTATCTCATGTCGCCCGTACCCGGAATAGCGTAAGTTTAAACTAAATTTAAACTTTTACTTATAACAATTTAAATGAATGTGTCTTTTATTTCTCCACACAGTCCATTCGACAAAATTCCACGTACATTTATACCGCTCATGTGGGCCGAAGAGCGCGTACGAGTTACACCGGAGATCGCCAGCCAAATCGGTTTGGTGCCACTAATCGTGACACTGGGTCAAGTGGTGACCGGCATTATGTTCGCCATCGGCACACTGTTCATTTGTTGGTATCCAACAAAATATATGTCACAACTCTGTCGTGATCCGAAGAGTAAAAACGCGCTACTCAATCCAATTGTTAATAGCACAACCCGATCGATAGCGCTAACGCCGCAAAGAAAGCTACATAGAGGAGGTGTATCGCTGTTGGGCTACAACCAAAGCCGTGAAGTCTTACAGAATGATGTGCTGTTAAGCAAAAGCTTACTGTGACCCGCAACACCGCGTTGTGATGTGATAAGTAGATAGTAGCTATTATGTTTGTTAGTAGAAACCGTATGCAGTAGTTTTTTTGTTATCTTTTCAAATGCGCCTTAGTGTGCGCCTGCCATTGTTGAATGCAACTAGGAGACAAAGCAAGTAAAGCTAAAGTTTCTAATAATGCAATTCCACTTAATTATATATACATATATGTAAATAATGAAATACAACCTCATATACAGTAGTTAAAGTAATTTCTAGCATATACGCGTTATTCATATGTAAAATTTATATAACATAATTTTTTCATTTGTCACATTGTCATTGTCATCACCGCAATGGCGTCCATGTATACAAATGACATTTGTATAATAAAATAATTATAAACAAATTACAAACAATAAAAAAATGCAGCGCAAAATGACAATTTAGTGCATGAAGCCCCGAGACATATGTACAAATTCATACGTCTATTGTATTGTTATTATAAGTAATTTTGCATTTGTTCAAAAACCTTTACGTCATACCTACACTGTTAATTTATACGAAAAAAAAAATTTATTGGCATTAAAAATTAAAATAGTTTATTAAAGACTTTTCATGCGCCCCAATCTTCTAAGTATCATGTCTTCATACAATAAATACATACATACAAACATATTCACACATAAGTGAAATAGTCACTCTCTTCTCTAGTTTGTAAGACTCAAAATCAAAAAGTATTTTCCATCGAACTGAAATTGTGTGTCCTTTTTTGAAATTAAAAAACAAAAAATAGATTAAATTATATTTAAGTACAAAGCTGGCCTTTTTCATTATTTTCCCGTATACCGTTAACGTGAAACAAAATGGAACAGCAAAACGTGATAAGGTGAAAGCTTAGAAACCAAAAGATGAAATTAATTAATGTAATAAAATACTTATTACTTGAATAAAATGTAAAACGAAAATTCAAATATTTATAGCAATTGTTTTATTATTCTACTAAAGGAGGTGATATGTAGATATTTGGAAAAGAGGTTTAAACCAATTTTGTATATGTGCTTTTTTCTTATTTTTATAACTTTTAAACGCCCGAATTTGCAGCTGAATTTTATACCCCGAACAGGGTATATTAAGTTTGCCGCCAAGTTATTAACACTCAGCAAGAAATGTCGGAGATCCTATAAAGTATATATGTTTATATATAAATGATTAGCGTGACGAGCTGAGTTGATTTAGCCAGAACTAAATTAAAAATTTGCACACGTCCTTTTCTCCCCCAGAAACTGCCCGTTTATCGAAACCACCGATATCGGAACACTATAGGATATAGCTGCCATACAAACTGATTGATCAAAATTAAGACTTGGTCTGGAAAACTTTTTTATTTGTCAAGATATCTTCATGAAAATTAGCACAGAGAACTATGAACCCTCTCGCTATACGGTTCTAATTATAAAAATGGCGAAACGCTCGCCGCTTAAGTTTCAAAATTTTGCAAAAAATGCTCTAATTTATTTTGAAATGCACACTATTTAGTTACATTAAATGTTAGTCTTTAAATTGTTGAATATTCAACTGTCAGAGTTTTTCGTTCTTTCCATATTAATATGTTTTCCATCTTCCGGAAATTTGTCCACTGATTGAAGAAAACTTACAACCTAATGCGACTCAGCCACATGCTGGTCAAATACAAGCATGCGCTAACAACACTAAAACTGAGCAATGACGGCAATCTGCCGGAGGCATTGCCGGTTTCCGCGCGTTCCAATTCCAATTGATCGGCTAAATCCGCCGGTACGTCCAAATAGACGCGATCTAAGCCGAACGAGAATATGAGCTGCCGTAATTTCGGCACATCAACGAAATCACCAGCCGATGACCAAATGGTGAGTGAGCTGTCGTTCGTCTCATTGACAGCAGCCACCAGCGTCTGCAGTTGGTTCAAACTGTTGGCGGCAATGCCAGCACGTACGGGGAATGTAATTGGATGTTGTTTGGCGGTCACATTATTATTCTAATCAAGTAAAACAAAAAAAGATTTCCCTGATAACAGCAACAATAAAGAAGCAAATAGTACTTGCTTTGATTGCAAGCAGCATTTCATCGATTTGCTGGTCCGTGTAAGCACCTTCTGTGTAATCGGCACCCCAACGTGTCGTCCAACCAATCGAGAGTACGGCTGATTCGAATTTCGCAGCGCCAGCGAAAAAACGCTCCGGATCAACCGGCACTGTGGTGGACTGATTTACAGGTCCGCGAATTATGTCCGCATTCAGCCAAACGGGTTGGGTCATCTAAGCGATACGGTATCAGTAAAAAAAAAATTTATTTCTAAATAATCACTCCAAATTGGGCCAGTTGGTTATTATTACGTGTAAAATTTCACCTTGACATTATCCACTTACCAATGGTATCAGTTCACTTAGAATAACCAGCGAGCCTTCAAACACTTCGATGGACTTGAAGTCCAATTTGACACCCTTCCCATCCTCGCCATTCTCCTCATTGTGTTCCAAAATGCGCAACATGAATTCAGCCAATGTGAGATCCGAGGAGTTGGCTGGAGGATGCGCCATCACCGGCAAATCCTCACCAGTATTATTAAGCTTGCCGAGCACAATGTCCGCCTCAATCATGTTTATGTCATCTAAAATACATTCCACATAAAATACAACTACAACAAAAAAGCCAACTATGCGTATAAGCAACTAAGTGATATGATGTTACGTATACGTCATGGCGACTAAGCAAAAATTGCACTTCTTGCTACTCACTGTTGAGCGCCTCGCTTAGCTCTTGCTGACTGTTAACCGCATGCGCCCACGTGATGGCGGTGAGATTGACTTTATCGCTGAGTGTCATTTTGATTAGTGGCTGGTTATATAAATTCAATTGTGTTTCATTGAAGTGCAAATCACTGTCTTTATCAATCGACAGAATGTGGTAGGAGTGAAAATTATTATTGTTGTTGTTTTTTACGCTATTCTGCATATGAAATGCAGGCGAAGCATTCACATAAACATAGTTGTTGTTGTTAAAAGCTGTAAAAATATTTAGAAGTCCAACTTTTAGATAAATTTGTGATCAAAAATATTACACAGTGGTGGACATATAATTAGGAATACGAATTGACCAACGTACAAAACATAAAATGAGATGAAAAATAACGTATGATTTGATACAATATAATGGAAAATTATAGATTTTTTTTTGTAGAGTTGACTAACATATATTTGCCTTGAGGTTTCCTCTAGCCAATACCGTATAAAAACGCATATCAACATTAGTTTGTTAAAAAAGTAGATTTTCGAATATTTGCTATGAGAAATATGCTTTCAAATACAAAAACAAATTATATGAGTACGTAAAAGCTTAGATGAGATCATATATGTAAAATGTTTGCGTAAACTTCACAAATTATTTAATGGTGTACTAGGTGGTGGTAGCAGTGGAGAAAAGTAAAATAGGTCTTCTTTATAGGGACTTGCTTGCTTTTTTCGTTTTTTAATTTTATAGCAGCTAAATCTTTGTTATAAAGCTTCCAGGTTAGAGGTTAGAAGATGACCTTTACTAATTATCGATAATCATTAGAAATGTCGATAGAGGAAAGGTACAGTTTGAATTTTCAGCCTAAGTATCAGTGATAAAAAAAAAATTGTAATCAACATTAAGACGTTACGGAAACGTTTTAGACTACATCGCAGGTGAACGACCGATGAGAATGGCAGCGCCGACTATTCGAAGTGTCTGTCTTTTACTCCACAGTTTGTAGACTCAACCTTGACGGCTGAGAAAACTTATAACAATGTGCTTAGAAATTAGGCAGCAAATTTGTGGAGGACTAGATGGATTATATGACATCTAAGTCACATTAAAAAGACTAACTAATGAGCTGCCTACCCTTTACACAACAGTTACCAAATATGAGCACAACTCTTTCAAACCTAAATATTATATACTAAATGGGAATCGGTTGCCCATGAACCCGGATTTCCCCTCCGTATTCGTATTGTATTGCTTTGCAAGTGTTTTATTAAGTAGTTTCACTCATTAGCTAGCAACGTGGCTACAATGTAATTTTCAAAGCATCTAAATTGCATTCGGTCCACATTTATGGCTGCAAAAGTACACACATAAACTCATAATCATACGGCTACATGTGAAAAGCTAATTGCAACAGCTGCTTAAGAACGATGGGATGTGAAATTTCTACCTACGCGCTCTCACAATAATTGCTAGCAATCACCTGGCAGCACATACAAAAGTAGTGTGCGAAACAAAGGGGTGAGTATTCCAGCTGGCGTGCAGAAAAGTAATGCTCTTTGCCGACCATTCACAAACTAAATAGCGAACAGCTGATTGCATTTTACAAATACATGCATACACTACCTATAGGCAAAGGTACCCTGAAAGAAAAACCGAATTGATGAGACAAATGTAGTGCTCGGCGATGACTGCAATTAGCTCTAATTTATACTAATTAAGAATAATTTAAAAATATTTCGTGCTTAATGTAAGGAGTACGACTGTTGTAATGACATTAAATTAATGCGCAAAATGCTTTCACTTGCCGACTTTGCTGTCGTAAAAAGTTGTAAATAGAGAGTTATCTGCTCCAGTGGCGATGAGAGTGATAATGCATATAAATAATAAAAAATATTTTATAATATATTTTTACTTTGACACTATTTGAACCATAACCTCACAAATACATAATAAATGCGAATGCTCTAGGAAATATTATAAATACATCGGTGATAGCCGGGTGAGCTAATTTACTACATTTTCATTTGATTTATTTGATTTACGTGGACTAGCGAATTTTCGACTACTTAAACTAGTATGGGCGGCAAAGCAAAAATATGCAGAGAGTGTCATTTGACACGTTTGGTTGCGCTTATGACAAGAAGCATGTGAATTTCCCGGCAGGGTATGTACATACATACATGTTGTATATCATATAATAATATTAATATATGTATATAATAACAAAAATGTTTATATCGCAGTATAGAAATATGCAAGCAAAATTCAAAAAGATAATACAAATGAGTAATTGTTTGCTTACTTATCAAAAATACACATATATATATATACATATATGCATAAAGATATTGTAAGTAAATAAAGTATAAGAACTATGATATATGAGATAAGGCATACAAGTATTTACTATTAAGATAGTGAGTTAGAACTACATTTGCCTGTTTTACAGTTATAAGCACATACCATAGATACATACATACGTGCATACCAGTGTATAAGCACATTCATATATACACGTATGTACATATATGCAAAGAAAGCTTTCGCACAGAAAATTTACAAAGCAGAATAGCAAGTAAACACATTTACACGTTTATGCTTTGTTGTTGTATACATTTACATATTTATTTTATTAGTAATATAATATATGTAACTAACTGACAATAATGACAAAAAATAAAATTTACTTTACCAAATACAAGCAGTGCAGTTAGATACAAATACGCGCTGTTGCGGCTGTCAAAGTGCTCAAACATATTTATGCTAAAAGATTTGTTGCTACAATTTTCTCTACATAAGAAATAATTGTTCAGATAAAGAGAAAATAAAAGCAGCAAAATATTAGTGCATACATACACATAAAAATACAGCAAAATAAAGTATTAATCAAAATTTACATAGATAATATTTTGCAACAATAATGTTAAGTACAGTAAATAATTAAAAATTTCTGAAATTTGTAAAAATTAGAGGTAGTTAATGAAATTAAAAAAAAAAATAATGATTATATGCTATTTAATTAATTGTAAACTGAATCGGCTATATTAAATTTGCCATGAAGTTTGTAACACACAGAAGGAAAGGTTGGAGACTCTATTACAAAGGTTATATATGTACCATATATAAATGATCGACAAGCTGAGTCGATTCAGTCATGTCAGACTATCTATATATACGCAAACTTGTCTCTTAGTTTTTGAAATATTGACTTAAAATTTTGCACACATTCTTTTCTCACCAAAAAGCTGTTCATTTGTCGAAACCGCTAATATCGGACCACTGCAGCACATAGCTGCTATACAATCTGATCGATCAAAATCAAGTTTTTGTATAACAAAACCAAATTAAAGATTTTTTATACCTTTTTGTGCTAAGAGTAATATATGTACATGTGAAGAGTATTATAGCTTCGGTATAGCTGAAGTTACCATTTTTTCTTATTTTTTATTAATTTGTAAAAATATGTGAATAAATACAAAAGTATGTGCAAAAACTACTTAACCGAGTTAGAAATTGAAATAAATTTATATGTACATACAAGTAGGATTTCATTTATACACGTATTATTTAATATTATGATGCATGCGTTTGAACTCTTTTCCATGTTGAACGAATAATTTAATTACTTCCGTGAGCATATAGCCATAACGCATTTGCCAATAAATAAAATTAATGATTTTTCCAACATAAAAAACACTTTTAAATGATCACTGAAAATACCGCTTATTAATAAAATTTTTAATGTAAATTCAATTAGCATGCACTAAGCGGTGTATTTTACAGGCAAACAAGTATCTAAGTTTTCATTTAAGTATATGCTGTGTATGTATTAGTAATACACTTTGAAAACACATAGAAACACGCTGGTCATTGGGCAGCCACTTTTAGCCCACTACACTCATTCAACCTTTGTTCGACTTTCATTTGCCAATATGTGCACATACACACATATGCATACATATAGATGTATGTATATTAAATGCTAGAACTTGTTTATAAAATTAAACACATTTTATTAATTAATAAACCTTTAGTTATAGATTTATTTTTTGATTAATACATTTTGAACTAACTTCAACAAATCGTTCACTCTCTAGCTTTATTGATTACGCCGAAACCACCCTTGTGATTGGAAAGTTGGTGCACAATTGAATTTGTATACTATTTGCGAAAATTTTCCAAGTCTAGCCGGCAGCAATCTGTTTGTATGCTCTTTGCACCAATATATTCTCTTTTAAATTGGCTCTTGCGCGGTGTTTTTGTATTATTGTTTTGATGCTTAAACGAAAAGTTTGGTAAAAACACAGATCGATTCCTTTGGCTAATAAAAATGATAAGGTGATTAAATTTATTATTAAAGATTAGAGATATTTGAGTTTAGTTAGGAACGTATTTATGATGTTGTTTATAGTTAAGTTTAGTTTATAGATTTTTTTTGTGAATACACATAATAATACCAAAAATCAATGCAAAAACAAGAAAAAACATTGACTTCGGTTGCACTAAAGCTATAATACCCTTCACAAATAATAAAATTCCAGCTATATAGTGGTCCGATTTAAGCAGTTTCTTCGGAGGTTGTACAGCTGCTTTGGGCAAAAATCAATGAAATAAAAAAATATTTTTCTCACAAGGGCATAATTTTGATCGTTCAGTTTGTATAATAGTATATTGGTTCGATATCGGCGATCCCGACTAATGCGCTGCTTCTGGGAGAGAAAAGAATGTGTGCAAAATTTCCTATCGATATCTCAAAAACTGAGGGACTAGTTCGCGTATATACAGACAGACGGGATTGGCGACATCGACTCACGTCGTCACGCTGATCATTTATATTTATATTATCTGCGACTTTTCCTTCTGGCTGTTACAGACTGGGTGTTACGAACTTTATGGCGCATTGTGTACATACATATATTTATTCTACATCCTAAATCATTTTTGAACACACTGTATTATTTCTTTCGCTCATCTCTCATTTATCCTATACTTCATTCATGAATCAAAACATACTTTGTTTTTCACAAATTCTGTCATTCTCGTTGAATTCGCGTCTCGCCGAAATGAGTGAAAAAAACGTTTTGTTTACATCCAATTCGCTTATTTTACGCGCCAATTCGCCGTAGTTTTTGTTTTTACGCACTAGTACGGCGAATTTATAGACATTTCAGTTGACAAGTGCGCCAGACAGATAAAACTGTGTAAAACTCATTCGCACTGTGAAAATATTTGTGAAAAACTTAATATAAATATAATAATAGTAATATAATTATATAGTGAAGTGATTTTTTAATAAAAAGCTGTTGTAAACCAACCGCTACAACTTATCTATAACTTTTCGAAACATATATAATGAAATAAACGGTGTAGTAGTAAATTTCAATTTACGCTCTTCAACTTAACCTCAAATAGCATGTATGTATGAGGAACTCCATGAGACACCACATCTACTATACGATGCAGCACTAGTTGGTTGGGAAAATAGGAAATACTTTGCCGGAAAAGTTAATAGTTGCTTGAATAAAATTGATATTTACTCTAACGACTGGTAGTAATAAGTAGAATCTGTAAAAATGTCGACTGCAGCGCTTGTGCAGCAATTCGTTGCTGGTCTCAAGTCGCGTAATCGTAATGTGCAAAACAAAGCAGCACAAGATTTATTCATGTACGTAAAAACGGAACTGCGTGAAATGTCGCAAGAGGATCTAGTAGCCTTCTTCGATGATTTCAACCATCAAATTTTCAGCATGGTGAATTCTGCCGATATAAATGACAAAAAAGGCGCTGTACTGGCCATAAGTGCGTAGTTATAACTTACAACATATACATGTATATTTACTTTTCAATAACCATGTTCTATATATCAACTACAGAATGTTTAATCAGTGGCGACGTAGTAAATACAATGAAACGTATTTCACCCTATTACAATCATTTGCGTACGCTGTTGCCTTCAAATGATACCACTGTAATGGAGATAGCGGCGCGTACATTGGTCAAACTGGCCAATTTGCCTGGTTCGAAAGGCGCTGAATCGATTGATTTTGACATAAAGCGTGCATTTGAGATGTTGAGCGGTGATCGACAAGAGGTACATTGCTACAAATTTTTTATTTTTATTTTATAGTAAGTAATAATAAATATTAATAAATTTCAGTATCGCCGTCATGCTGCAGTTTTTATATTACGTGAGCTCGCTATAGCCATGCCAACATATTTTTATCAACAAATTTCCACATTTTTTGATAATATTTTTAACGCAATATTCGATCCGAAAGCAGCTATTCGTGAATCGGCTGGCGAAGCTTTACGCGCCGCACTTATTGTAACTTCGCAACGTGAAAGTACCAAACAATCCACTGAGCCACAATGGTATAAAACTTGCTACCAAGAAGCGAGCGCTAGTTTTATAGCCGAACCATCGGGCACAAAAGATCAAAAAGGCATGACACGTGATGATTGCATACATGGCGGTCTGATAATTTTAAATGAACTTTTCCGTTGTTCACATGCCGCTTGGGAGCGTCGTTATGCAACGTTGAAGTCGCTTCTGCCCGACGCACAACATAATAAATTTGGCGAAGTCATACACTCTGGCTCAGTTGGCAGTCAACTAACCACCTTAGTGCCTCGCTTGAAAGCACCTTTTATAAGTAAGCTAGGTTCCACACACATGCATTTGGAACACGATGCACAACATGGCGGTTCACATAAATTCTCATCGGTAAGCACTTAACAATATGTATTAGTGTTTTTGAAGCTATATAATATTCGTTTTAGGCAACCGTGCTGGAGTCAGCATATTCACGTGAAATACTCACAGAAAATTACATAAATATTTGCGATAATGTGCTGGAACAGCGCACCTCGAAGTCACCATATGTGCAGCAGGCGCTCTTACATATACTACCACGCCTCGCCGCCTTCAATCGCGAAGTATTCGTACAGCGTTATTTGCAGGAATGCGTTAGTCACTTACTCAGCATTGTGCCACGTAAAGAAAAGGATCGAAACATTGCTTACGTAACTATTGGTTACATAGCCGTAGCGGTGGAGCGCGACATTGACAAGCATTTGCGAACAATTATGTGCGCCATCAAAATAGTTTTACCACCAAAAATTACACCGAGCAAGCGTAAGGCAGCTATTGATCCAGCAATTTTCCACTGTATAACATTGCTCGCGCACGCCGTCAAATCTGGCATAACAGAGGATGTGCGTAATATACTGGAGCAAATGTTTTTCAGTGGTCTCTCACCGGCTTTAACTGTTTGCTTACGTGAACTCGCCGAAAATGTACCACATTTAAAGTCGGCCATTGCTGAAGGACTTATACGTGTGCTCTCGCAAGTACTTATGAATAAACCACTGGCCATACCCTATCAAACACTGGCCACCATACCATTAGATCCATCGATTAATCTGCAACATGATGTACCAACTGTAGTGCTGGCACTCAAAACGCTCGGCAGCTTCAATTTCGAAGAACAAAACATGTTAGATTTTGTACAACGCTGTGCCGATCATTTCATTAATCACGATCAACAGGAGATACGTTTAGAGGCTGTACAGACGTGTACACGTCTATTAAAACTCGCCGTACTGTCGGCTGACAGCACAGAGAGTTCTAATACACTTAGCGAAACAGTGTCGCATGTCATTGAACGACTGCTAATTGTCGCCATTACTGATATGGATTGCAATGTGCGCATACGCATACTGCGTTCGTTGGATGAAACATTCGATGCTGAGTTGGCGCAACCCGAATCGCTTAGTGCGCTTTTTATAACATTAAATGATGAGATTTTCGAAATACGCGAACTGGCTATGGTGACCGTGGGTCGGCTGTCTGCCATGAATCCAGCCTATGTTATGCCTAAATTGCGTAAAATTATGATACAACTTTTGACCGAACTGGAACACTCCGGTATGAGTCGAAATAAGGAACAGAGCGCAAGAATGTTGGATCATTTAATAATCAGTACACCAAGGTTAGTCCTTCATAAGAAAAAACGCTAGCTTCAGTTGCCCCGAAACTATAATATCCTGCTCGAATAGGAAATATTCCATATAAGAATATGATTTTGAACGGTCAGTTTGTATGTCAGTCATATGGTATAGTGGGCCGATTTGAACAATTGCTTCGCAGATTGCACAGTGTTCCTTGGACAATAATCCATCCAAATTTCGTAAAAAAATATCTCGTCAAATAATAAAGTTTTGCATACAAAGACTTGGTTTGGGTCAGTCAGTTTGTATGATAGATATATGCTATAGTGGTCTGATCTGAACAATTTGTGCAGAGATTGTAACGTTGTCTTTAATAATAGTAGCCTATGCCAACTTTCATGTAGATATCTAGTCAAATAAAAAAGTTTTGCATACAAGAACTTGATTTGGATCGGTCAGTTTGTATGGCAGCTATATCCTATACTGGTCCGATATAGGCGATTCCGAAAAATTAGCAGTTTCTTAGGGAGAAAAAGAACCATGCAAAATTTCAGTTTTATATCTCAAAAGCTGAGGGACTAGTTCGCGTATATAAACCCTGTTCTGGGTATAAAAACGAAAACTAACTATAAAAGTCTTAGTTGAAAATATAAACCCGTTATATAATATATTGAAAGCAATCTGTAATAACTAATCTCTTTTCACATTTTACAGATTGATTTCATCTTACATGCATCCCATACTCACCATACTTGTGCCGAAGTTACGTGAAGCCGATCCTAACCCAGGCGTAATATTGAATGTCTTGCGCGCAATCGGCGACTTAGCCGAAGTAAATGGCGGTTCCAATGAAATGGAAATGTGGGCCGATGATTTATTGTCAATTCTTCTTGAAATGCTCGGTGACGCTGGTAGTCCGGAGAAACGTGGCGTGGCACTTTGGACACTCGGCCAACTGATAAGCGCCACTGGTCGTGTAGTCACACCTTATCACAAGTATCCTGGTCTGATTGATATACTTATAAATTTTTTAAAAACCGAACAACGCCGCTCTATACGTCGTGAAACCATACGCGTACTCGGTTTATTGGGCGCAATGGATCCGTATAAACATAAAATGAATAAAGGTCTAATTGATAGTCAAAAGGATAGTGTGCTCATTTCATTGAGTGATTTCAAAATGGATGAAAATCAAGATATTTCCACGGCCGAACTACTGGTGAACATGAGTAATGTTCTCGATGAA